TTTTAGTGATGAGGAAAAAATCTGCTGCCATTGTCTGAGGGTGTGCGCTAGGTAAACCCTGGTTTGTAATCTTAGCTAGCAAAAGACCACAAGGAGGTAAGTCAGTATGGGTTATCCATAATTGACCGGTTCAAAGTAATAAAGCCAATAAGTTACTCCCATTAAGAGTCGAACTTATAATTTTATAGTTATCAAATTAACAATCTGATTAATGTTGGAGTTTTCACATTTAAACATCATTTTTGTATTCATCATTTAGGTTAATTAGCCCGTGAGGCTTGGGCTCAATATTTGGGCAATGTATATGAGCCTTGGTTCAGATGTCTTTAACAATTACAAGCCCATTTAAACACATCCTCTTAATTGCCCTAAAAGAATTGAGATCTGAGAGGACATTTTGCATAGGTTTCATCAAGATTATGGTCAATGGTATCTGGAACACGACATTTGCGTGGTTAATAAAGAATGTTAAAGCATAAAAACATGACCTCAAAATTGTGTTTTGTGAATAAAGTAACCATTTGAAGATTCACGTAAATCAAAGTAATCATTTGAAGAGCTTGTCTCAAGAATAGAGAACGATAGAACGATGTTTAAACAAATTAAATCTCTAAGACTGACCATATATTTATTAATTTAATCATTCACCCAATTTACAGCTGAATGCATAGATAATATTCGATATTCAAACTTCTCCCGTTATGTTTTTTTCATTAGTCATAGTTACAAACTAGAAAATTCTAACTTTTGTAAAACCAAAATTGTAAAAGCCCTAACTTTTAAACCTAAAATCACTCAACTTCTAGTTAAATGTTTTTCCAACCAGGACATCTGCCGAATTTCTAAGTAAATCAGGTTGTAAAAAGTTTGAATTCTCAACACTATCTTTATTCCAAACATTTTATTAGATATTAGATAAATAAACTAAATAGCATAATGTATAATAAAAAATTAAATGTAAAATATTTTTTCTTTTTAAGGTCATCTCGGTTAAACCCGTGGCACATACTAATTTATTATATTTCTCCAATAATTTATAAATTATTACATAAAAATATAATTACCCATTACACAAATTTAAATAATAGATGCAAATTTTTTCTGTCATCTAAAAAAGAAAATTATTCTTCAATTGGAAAAGAGGTCATCCTAAAGGGATAAACTTCCACTAACACTTCCACCACGTCACGGAAAATGGAAAAAAATGGATTTTAGCGCAGCAATGGAAGTTATGAGTCAACGGACGGCTTTCGACGAAATCTGAAGAAATAAAGTAATGAAAGACTCCTTTCAAAAAAAAAAAGTTGTTGTCACCCACCCCAATTCTTAAAATGTTGGCAGATGAAGGTCGTACGTTGTACAGTACTAGGAAAATTCGTTTAATAACAGAACAGGTAAACCACATGCAACACACGGTCAACGCCCAGCAGACTACGCTAAGAAACGAGATTTGCCTTCATAATCTCCGGAGAAGAAGAGAGAAGGGGAAACAAATTAAAGTTTAAATCTTGACCCAAAAAGAAAAAAAAAAATGTCTGATTTGGTGAAAGCAGGTTTGGGCAAGTATCTCCTGCAACTCCACTTGCATCCTCTTCGGACCAAGGTCTTTTCTTTTTCTCTTTTGGCTGATAAATCTGGGGAATTTGTAATGATTTGATCGTTTTTACTGTTTTTGTGGTTAGGCAATCACTGCTGGAGTTCTGGTTGGGTGTAGTGATGTGGTTGCCCAGAAGATTTCTGGGATCAAAAGGCTTCAACTGAAAAGATTGCTTCTTTTAGCTGTATTATTCATGTTCTTGTTGTTTTTGAGGTTATTTTAATTTCTTGGTTTGATGCAGTGAATTTTTGGTGGATTTACTGATATGGGTTCTTTGATCTTTGTTTGTTTGTATTGCAGTTGTATGGGTTTGTATACTCAGGGCCCTTTGGGCATTTTCTGCATAAGTTGATGGATTCTTTGTTCCAAGGGAAGAAGGGTACCAAAACTGTTGCTAAAAAGGTTAAAAACCCAAATCAAAATCCTTTTTTTGGCCCCATAGTCACTATCGAATATGTACTGGGTAAATCTCGCATAGTGATTATAATCGGCAAAGGATCACAATGAGGGACTTTAAACTTTGTGGTTACTAAGTCAATAACCTAGGTTTATAGGCTATCTTTCAAGTATTCCACTAACCCCATCTCGTGACCCTGACATAAATCAATCTAAATTGTCCATAGTTGATTTGCTCAAACGAAGAAGACCGATAAATTACTCCCACTAAGAACTGAATTTGAAACCTTGTGGTTACCAACAATCCAACCAACTTAGATGGGGTTGTCCCATAAATCAAAATACCTTTTTTTTTGGTAATGTAATTACTTTAATCAGTTTTCACTGTGTTTTCCTCTTCTGCAGGTCTTGCTGGAACAGCTGACTGCATCTCCTTGGAACAACATGCTTTTCATGGTGTACTATGGCTTAGTGGTTGAAGGTAAATATGTAACTATGTAAGCATGCACTGATCATCAAAGCATTATATGTTAAATCTTGTTAGGCTTATAGGGGTAAATGTTGAATCGAGATTCTTCTGAATTAGTCTTATCCCGTTAGATGCAAAAAGGAACTCGTTGGAATCAGAGTACAAATCAAGAACTCTCTTCATTCCTGCAATATTATCTGATTAACAGAGTTGAAGAATAGGAGGAATGAAATACTGTTCTTGATTGCTGCTATCTCCATTGTATTTTTCTACTGAAACAGACATGATCTCGTGTTGCAGGAAGGCCATGGAGTCTCGTGAAAAGTAAGGTTCGAAAGGACTACCCCTCGGTGCAATTGACTGCTTGGAAGGTACGAGAGTACACACAAGATTCTGTAATTTTTTGCCATAAAATTGTGATATTTTTAACTAAGATATATATATATATATATATATATATATATATATATATATATATATATATATATATATATATATATAATGTAATTGTTGTAACGCGCAGTTCTGGCCTATAGTCGGGTGGATCAACTACCAGTACATGCCCCTGCAGTTGCGCGTTTTGTTCCACAACGCTGTCGCCTCGTGCTGGTGAGTGTTCTTTGTGTGTTTTCGCGACGAATAATGCAGAAAAATGTGAAGCTGCAACTGATGTTGTGTCTGTTGTGTGATGTTTTTAGGGCAATCTTTCTGAACTTGAAGGCAAGATCTGTTGCAATCAAGAAGGAATGAAGTGGATGAAGAGTAGTGTTTATTGTTATGCCCTTTAAGTTTTTCTTGTTTGCTCTCTTCTTCTTGTCCCATGATTCAGCTTGCAGATTGTAAAATTACAATAAATCCAATTCCTGTCTTGGCAAGGATTAGTTGCAGTTTTTATGAAAAATAAAAATAAAACTCTTCTTTTTCGGTACAATGAATATACAAGACTGACAGGATAATGGAAGAGTAAATCATGGCTGTCTCGACGGCATATGTATAGAGAGCAAAATAGAGTTATCAATTTTTCATATTAATAAAAAGTACCAATTGTGCATGTGTATAGAGAGCAAAATAGGACTATCAATTAATTTTTTGACTATTTGGTCATTGCAACATGAGCGTTTCATATCAATGGAAAGTACGTACTAATTATGCATGTGCATAGAGAACAAAACAAGATAGTTGATTATTTGGTGATTTCAACTTGAGATGGATTCACGATAAATTGAAAATCTTATGGTAAATATTCAAGTTTTTTTATGAGTAATGCCACATGACAACAATTTATTAGAAACTGTTGAGCCATAATTTATCTTTCCATCATCTTATTAGTCAAGAAATAGGGACACTTGGGGTGACAAATTTTGTCTCTTATGCACAAAACCTCCTAGTCCCAGAGATGAAATCCAGTTCAAATTATCCAGACGTTATGTCATGGAACCGTGTTCACCATTCATGGTGAACACGGTTCTAACGGTGTTAGTACACCGTTATCTTTTTTTTTTTTTTTTAATTAATTGCGTGACTTTTCTTCTTTATTTTCACATTTTTGCGGTTTCACTTTAATTTGAGGTGAACAAAGATTTCGGACATTCATAAATTATGAATTCATGCCTGCACATTCACTTTGGAACCATGCCTACACATTCCCGTCCGAAATCACGGACATTCATAAATTATGAATCCATGGCTGCACATTCACTTTGGAACCATGCCTACACATTCACTTTGGAACCATGAGATTATGAATTTTCTGTTATAAGATTATGAATTTTCTGTTATGAGATTATGAATTTTCAGTTATGAGATTATGTATTTTCTGTTATGCGATTATGAATTTTCTGTTATGAGATTATGAATTTTCATTACATTCATAATTTCGGACATTCATAAATTATGAATTCATGCCTGCACATTCACTTTGGAACCATGCCTACATATTCCCGTCCGAAATCACGGACATTCATAAATTATGAATCCATGCCTGCACATTCACTTTGGAACCATGCCTACACATTCACTTTGGAACCATGAGATTATGAATTTTCTGTTATAAGATTATGAATTTTCTGTTATGAAATTATGAATTTTCAGTTGTGAGATTATGAATTTTCTGTTATGCAATTATGAATTTTCTGTTATGAGATTATGAATTTTCATAAAATTCATAATCTCATAACAGAAAATTCATAATTTGATCAAACGCGCGCCGTTAACTCCACATCCGCGAATTTTTTTTTTTTGGCCTAAAAACGACGTCGTTTTGCCTTGTGTTCACCATTCTCGGTGAACACGATTCCATGGCATAATTTGCGCAAATTATCCGCATGGGCTTAATTCAATATTTCAGTAGACAATATTTTAGAGAAGAGATTAAGGTTCAAATCTCGATGACAGTAATATGGAATTATGTTCAAAGTGGGCAGATTCTTTGTGCTCACCAATATTTACTGAACTATTAAGTTACCGTGATTCACACTTTCCTAAATACTTTGTCAAATCGGGATGTAGGGCCTGGTTAGGGAGAAATCTGGCCCAAATTGATTGGCGCGTCATTTATACCGAATAGAAACGGCCGTCTTCCTCACTATAAAACCCTATTTCAAAGCTCAACCCGGCGGCTCCAACCGTTCCACACCCTGCGGCAGCAGAAGCACTTAACGATCGACGCACAGGTACAATAAACGCATTCACATATAATTTTTATGCATATATGTATGCGCAGGCATCAGGGTTAGCATCAAATTAAAATCTTTGATTTATTCTTACTGTTTTTCTTAAGAAAGTTCTCAACTTTTGTCGTTTATAGATAGATAGAAAAGAACAATTTCATGCCGCACGAAGATAGAGAATTTGGAAGTAATTAATTTAAATCCATTGTATAAGCAAATAGGTATGTGGAAAAAAGTGAGCTCTTTTTTATTTTTAAGAAAAAGAAAAATGTGATTCAGGGAAGAAACTTGAAGAAGAGGGTAATTGATGGCTTGATTTGGAGTAGGAAACAGTGAAGGCTTGAAATCTACTTTTTAGATTAGTTTTCAAGGAATGGAAGAGCTTGAATTGTGTTGTGTTCTTATATTTGGGTATTTTTGTTGCTTATCATTCTGATTGCAGTGAAGGATAACCACAGAACTAAAATCCTTGGCGATTTCTTGAATATGGAAAAGTTGAATAAGTATGCTGTCCTTCCATCCGATTCTCGAGTTATTAAAACCCTTTGGAATTGATTAGAAATCACTAGTGCCTGTAAATATGCGTCCCATCTAGTCATTTAGCTTGATATTCTGTAACCATTCAGGATTTTGTCGTAGTTTCTTATTGAAGCATCAAAATTAGGTACTTGAACAACATAAAGTCAGCCTATGAACTATTTCATCGTACATTTCTGTTGCTTGTTTGGATCTGGCAGCTTATGTCATCCCAAAGTATCTTAGTTTACACTGGGCTACTATTTTATATCTTATCAGATGGAGAACATATATGGCTCAGTTACGAACATCTCAGTGATGGAACCAAGCGAAATAGGACATGCTGGGATGTCCGTAAAGATTGATCAGGCAAGGTTTTGTTTGTATTGCCTTTTTGTTCTTGGATTAGTTCATGAATAGAAGAAAAAGCAGTTGTGGATATGATGAAATATCAACTTGTTTAAAAGTTTAGGATTATTATGAGTGCCATGTAGATTCTAAAGAATTGCATTCCTTTGAGCTTATCTCTAGGATTTGAAGGAATTATGCCCCAGGAAATTCCTGTGACCAATTGGCATTTTATGGCAGTTGAGATCATCCCAAAGTCTCTTAGTTTACACAAAGAGCTAATATTTTATATCTTTTCATCAGATGGAGAACATATATGGCTCAGTGATGGAACTAAATGAAACAGGACGTGCTGGTAATATGGAACATTTCAAATGCCGTGTTGATGAGATGTCTGTAACGGTTGATCAGGCAAGGTTTTGTTTATATTGATTTTTTGCTCTTGGATTTCTTCACGAATACCATGCTAGATTGCTATCACCTTTCAGAACCAGTGAAAGAAAGGGTTGAGTGCAACTATCAATCCATTTGCCCTAACCAAGATAAATTAACCATTTTTACTAAAGTTTACAGTTTGAACTTTATGTTTGCAGCTTGAGCAGAGATTTACTGAAGTTGAACAGTTTTACTCAAGTGTGAATAAAAAGCAGTCAAACACTCCAAGAGGTAACTCGGCTCAGAAGGACTCAGAAAAAGAGAAGCAGATTGCTAACTTTAAAAAACGGCAACAAGATGCATCACAGCGAGAAGCAGCTGCTGCTAAGAGAATGCAAGAACTTATGCGCCAATTTGGCACAATATTACGCCAAGTAATCTCTCTGCTCCTCATTTAAGACTGAATATATGGCTGTCCATATTGTTTTTATGCTGTCCCTTTCTTTGTCAGATCACTCAGCACAAATGGGCAGGGCCTTTTATGCAGCCTGTTGATGTTGAAGGTCTTGGCTTGCATGACTACTATCAGGTACTGGGTAATATTTTCGAAAAGTTTAATTACCTACATGCTCAGAATTTGATAAATATATAAACTCTTTGCATATCCGATGTTATATTTTCTTTGGAATTTGCTTCTGCTGATTCATTGTCCGTGAAATTTCCAGGTTATTGAGAAGCCAATGGACTTTAGCACAATTAAGAATAAAATGGAGGGCAAGGATGGTACCGGATACAAACATGTCCGAGAGATGTGCGCGGATGTTCGCCTGATATTTAAAAATGCAATGAAATACAATAAGGAAAGGGACGATGTACATGTGATGGCAAAAACCTTACTGGGAAAGTTCGAGGAGAAATGGCTGCTACTTTTGCCAAAAGTTGATGAAGAGGTATGTACACATGATACTCATTCAAGACTGCCCCGTTTCTGATTAGGCATGAGTACTTCTTTCCTGATCGATCTTTCGTGACGTTGCTTTTCAGTTCAGGCTTCGTATTTTGATCTTTAGAATTACCTTTTGTAGGAAGAAAAGAGAAAGAAAGAGGAAGAAGATGCTTTTTCTGACATGAAACTTGCTCAAGAGGCTGCTCATGCCAAGATGGCCAAGGATTTAAGTATGGAGGTAGCGATTTCACTAATGAAAGTATACATATTCTTAAAACCTTTCTGATCTTCTGCACGGTCCTTATATTTTTATTTTATTTTTTTGAATATTTTCATAGCTTGATGAGATTGACATGCATCTGGAAGAACTTAGAGATGCAGTGCTTCAGAACTGCAGGTTTGATTTAACTTTATTTTGTGGGGCATAAAGTTTTATAATTTATATATACAAAGTACTTCTTAACATAATGATTCTGTTTAACTAACTATCCTATCTGCTAACACTTTTTCTGCTGACTGATAATCATTACACCACCTATTGGTAATATTTATATTTCAGAAAGATAACCGTTGATGAGAAGAAAAAACTTGGCGATGCTCTCACGAAGCTTTCTTCCGAAGATCTCAACAAGGCATTACTAATTGTTGCACAGAACGACCCCAACTTCTCGATAGCTGATGAGGAAGTAGAACTCGACATTAGCACACAGGTGATAAGTCGTGTTCCATGGCTGCTGCATTATAATCAATGTTCTTATTTTCATTCTGCTAGTGTACTTTATGCAGACCGATTCTACGCTATGGAAACTGAAGTTCTTCGTCCAAGATGTGTTTGAGGCTCAAGGAAAGAGTGCAGCCATGGAAGCAAACAACAATAATAGCAAAGGCAATGCCAACAACCAAGCGACTAATAAGCGCAAAAGAGAGACCACTGATGCCCTCGCAAAGGCATCGCAAAAAAAGAGCAAAAAGCCGTGATTCTAAGCTTGATGTACAACTCAGCAGAGTGATACCTTTACCCTTGCCAAGACATCACAGAAAGAAAAAGGACGAAACGCTTTAATCCAAGATGATACGCCATAACGCCGATTGGAGTGATCCATGTAAATATGGTCACAAGGGTTGAGATTTGCTGTTTAGTTTAGCTTTGTATTGTTGCTGTCTATACTTTTTATGTTGGACAGTGCTACATCTCCCATAAGAATTCATCACCTTAGCAAGTATATGCACTAAATTGTGTCTAAACTAAATGATTTTTTTATTTTTTTTTTCATTTGGATTGTGAGCTATGACACTCTGGAGTTTTCTCCTTTATTGAAGATATCCTTGTAATACAAAAATTGAGTTGATCCAAAAGTACTTGTTATGTCATATCTTAGTGAAATATGATGGTTGGGGGAGTATAGTGGAGTGGAGCGATAATACCTGTCTTTGTTGTTTGAACTTGAACATCTAGTGGGTAGGGGTACTCTGTGGTATGGTACAGACGTAATTTTATAAACATACGGTTATTGTTGCAAAAATCGGTCTAGGCGCCCCTAGACCGTGGCGATTTCCCCCTACGCGGCCGCCTAGGCGCCTAACTCAGCCGACTCGGTTGCCTAGCGCCTAACTCGGCCGAGTTAACTCGTCCATTTCGGTTGAGTTAGCCGAGTTAATCTGGTCGGCTCGGTCCTACTAATTTTTTTCATTATATATATATATATATATATATATATATATATATATATATATATATGTGTGTGTGTGTGTGTGTGTGTGTGTGTGTGTGTGTGTGTGTGTGTGTGTGTGTGTGTGACATATATACACCCACACACGTGCATTGTTTTTTCTTTTTTAGTAAGCTGCATAAGTGCCCGCCTAGGCCGTCTAGGCACTAGGCGCTACTCTATCGCCCGACTAGCGCCTAGCGCCTACTGCAACCATGCATACGGTTAAGATTGTTTATCAATAGGATGCTTGTAAATTACAATCCGTGTAAACTCTTCTTCGTTTTCGTTTTTTAGTCTTAATCTCTTGATCTCGTTTTTTTTTAAGAGTATAATTTACCATTATTTTTATTTTCATGATACATACATAAACCATGATGAAAGAAGAATCTTTTGTTTCCAAATATTTGTATTTTTTTTTTTTGTCCTTTGGGTATGCATATTGGGGTTTGGTTTGGTATTTGGTGGCATTGAGGAATACATTTTGGAAAATTTATCAAAAACACATACTTTCTTGCAATGTAGACCATGTGATATGAGGATGTCATCACCAATATAATATTCAGGTTTATCACAAATGAATCTTAACTTAAGTCGGAGCAGCCTATTATCGTTTTTGTTTGAACTAGTCAATTAATTTAACTTTTTGTGATTATTTGTCGATTACAATCACAATGCGAAATCAATTTAGTACACCTTGAAGTAGTGACTACACGTTTTCCTAGTCGCCCAAAAAAAAAAAAAAAAAGAAGACTAAATCTAAAATCAAAATTTGCTCTAAAATAAATAGATCCAAGTTAAATTGGGGAATGGTGTGTTGATCTTTATGACACCACCCGGAAAAGAGGCGATTTATGAAAGAAGTGCGTTCTATCTTTTCCTCCATTAAAACAAAGATTAGAAGAGGAAGTCAATTATTGTTTAGCCATAAAAGGAACAATTGGATGGCATCACGTTTTCTATCTACAACGTTAGTGACAAGAAAGAATAAAACATCATTGGTGTTAGTTTTACTTTCTTTCTCTTTTGTTAGTTGACATTGATAGGGATATTCCCCGACCTTACTGTAGTTCATATTTGGGCGGTATCGGAATCAGTAAGTATTTAAATGTGTAGAGCCCGGTCCGATCAATACCGACCTAAGCGAGCGTCCCTCCGACCTGGATCTCAAATTGAGAAGATGTCTTTAACCGGCTGAAGATCAGTACTAATTGCATTCCCCAACCACTTTAGGTCGAGACCGAGCACCCAACCTTCAACACTTGGAGCACTAGCTAAACACAACGATAGTGGACCCTATAGCGACAGGAATCTTCGGACGTGTGGATAGATCTGCTTGGACCGCCGGCCTCGTCCTTTGCATGCGTTCCACGTGTCATGCATGCCGAGTGACCGGGAGTTGTTCCCAGACACTCCCTATAAATACCGCATTAAATGCGATAAGAAGGATTTTTTGGGGCGATTTCTAAATGTTTACCTTAAGCCCGAGAACCACTGACCTACTGTCAAGTAACCCGAACTTAAGAACTTTAACCGACAAGCACACCAAAAAAAGGGCCCGAACCAGACCCAGTTACAGAACTTTACAAATCAGTAATATCCACTGTATTTACTACATCAAACACAATGGAGAAAGAAACATATCAACTAAACTATTATACAAAACGTAGTCGATCAAATCATCCTAATAACATTTTTTTAAAAAAAAAAAAAAAAGAAGCCAATTTGTATTGGTTCCAATATGTGTAAGTACACGTTAGTGTCTTGGCCTATGGATATGCCAACATGAACAAATCTATATACGTTATGTTTTAAAAGCCACCTACGACTCCAAGAAGATGAATATGAGGATTGCCACCAAACCTTATTTTTTTTTAAGAAATCAATAATGAGTTATTTTCAAGTTCAACTTTTTTATAACGTTTGTCCTAACAAAGACTAAACTAAAAATATATAAATAATCCAAAACTCAATTGTGACACTCGAAGCAATTCGAACCTCATACTTAGAGACTCGAACCAATCCCCTTGGTCATTCTTGAAATAATTTATAATATTTTTGTAAATTTATGAGAGAAAACGCTTCTGAAACACCAAAAAACTAATCATTGAAAATTTTCGTGAAACAACATAGGAATTTTCAAAAAGGCGTTTACGCTATTCCCATGTTACATATGGTGTGCTCGTATTTTAGTCTTAGGTTGAACTTTCCCAAAGCATCCCAAGCTCCTTTAGCTTTCACAAAGGTTGTTGCCAACAATATATTCAATGATCCCAAGCATCTTTGTTAACTTTTTTTTTTTTTGAAATATTTGTTATAGTTAAAATTATATTTTTTTTATTTCATAACACTTTCAATGTAATTTTTAAATATAGAATTTTGTTTACTAAAGTTAAGTAAATTGGTTTTCAAAAAAAAAAAAAACGTTAAGTAAATTAGTAATATAATTGAATTGCAATCACTTATTGTTAATTGAATAAGAAATATAAATTTAGAAAAGCTTTTAAAATAAATTTTGAATTACTTTAATCTATGAACCAAGACCGTACCGACTGGCATTCCCAAAGTCAATCTCACAAAAATATTTGACATTATAAAATTTATCCATACATACTATGGAGTATACAAGAATTTTAATTTTAATACGCTAATTCAGAATCAACAAAGATAAAATAAATATTTTCGCCATTTAAATGTTACGGAGTATAATATTTTCGCCAGCTGGTCATATGTCATTTGTTTATTTATTATATACATATATCTACTTTAGTAGTTTAGTCACGCATACGATATTGTTGAATTTTATCATATGCATAATACTAGATGCATACAAAGGGGTATTTGGTAAATAGTTATTAACTGATTGGGTTAGTGAGTTCGACGAATTGATATGAATAGTTTTTTAAATTTTAGCATTTTGGAGTTGTTACAAAAAACTAATTAATTAAACACTCATATTGATTAATTAACCAAGACAAACAGTTAATAGTGGTCAAATATATATGAATTCGTCTACTTCATCAGCAATTAATAAATGTAAACATTTACACACCTTTGCACAAACATATATTAATATGACTTGACTTGATTAATTCATAATGAGATTCGTAACTAATGAAAATACGAATTGAAGTTTATAATATTATATAACTTATAAGGTTCAATCTCTACTTCCCGATCTTCCTTACCATTATTCAATAGTGCGTGTGCACACACACAAAATTCGAAAATTAAATCATCGAGTTAAGTGTAAATTTGTGTACAAATTAAAAAACATTTTAATTTTCTAGATTTATGCAACACTATTTTTTTTTTTAATTTAATGTTTGGATGTGAACAATATGATGATGACAAACCAAACAAAATCAAATATGAAGCAATCATTACCTCCTTTTAGCTTACAACCTTAGCCTCCCTCAAAGGCTTGAAGATTTGAAGCTCAAAAACAATTTTTTAAAAAATCCCTTTTTCTTATTGTGCCCTTTTTTTCTCCTTTCTTTCAGTTAGAAATATGCTTGAATTCTTTAAAAATTGCATGCATGCAATTATGCAAATATACAATACATAATGAATGTATACACAAAGCCAAAAAAATGAGATTTTGTATATATCTCAAGATATTACATCATATTTTTTTTTGTTCATACACATCAGTTACTTATAAATTAGTCAAATCCACAACTCATTATAACATTTCATTCAAACATTAGGAAAACGTTGACATGATATCTTAAAATGATATTTGTGGTATATTAAACACTTCTTTTATGCACTTGTAATAATATACCTTAAAATGCTCGAATTTTTTAAAGTGTTTGTACAATGATACTCACAACAAAATAAATCTATACCACTCCCCTTGATTGAATTCAAAACCTACACACTGCAATTCCAGCAAAACAGACTATTAATCTTACTTTATATTGATTAAGCAATTGAGCAGTTAAATCTAATAAACTTTAATTTACTTTTTCTTGAATATATGAATATTTCTTGAATACATTACTAAAGATTAACTAATAGCAACTTAATTGACTTATTATCATTTCTGGGCAAGTCCCCTACTGCAAAGCTACGAAACAGCCATGCATGCATGCATATATATCCATGAACTGCATATTCAATTCCTCCAAATGCCTTCGATTCTATACTCTCATTATCTTCATTCTCCCTTATATTCTCATCAAAAATTCATCACAACCCACAATGGAAGTATATATCTCATGCAAGCAAACTATATATATATATATATATATATATATATATATATATATATATATATATATATATATATATATATATCTTTCATTCATTCATTCATCAATTCAAGATTCATCAAAGAAATAGAAGATTAAAAAAAAACAATAATTCTTGAGGATCAATCAATTCATGAATAACCAACACATCAAATCAAATGAAAAGTGCATAATCTATATGTATATATATAGACACTGTCACACGCAGAATCATGCATCCACAGATATAAATAGAAAGCAGGAAAAGATAATCAAAACTAAGTAAAAGAAGGATATATGGTATAACAATCTAATTAAAGAGTATTTTAATGAAAGAGAAAGACCCAGATTTTTTTTTTCATAAAAAAGAAAAAGAGGATAAGCATGAACAAAACGTTGAGTTTTTCTCCTGGCTTTCATGGCGGCCATGCAAGTTTTTTTTTTTTTTTTTTTTTTTGCGTTTTTCACAAGCCCGCCACCTACGAAAGCGCTAAAGAGGGAGGAGAAGTTTTATAAAGGTAAGGGCGGTTCTATGGTTTCTTACGTGAGCCGCGACTTTGGGCCAATGAAAAGCTGCCACGTCACCCTCGAGGTCGGTTCTCCACCATGGTGTCACATCTGAATCCATCGTGCCAGCTGCATTGGATTGACTACACCGGGGATGTGGGCCCCGTCGTTCTTCAGTAGGGTCGCCACTTCAATGTAAGCTTGGCTCGGCTCGGGTTCCTGGCTCGTCGGGCCCTGACCCGGCTTACTGCCCCGTTTCAACTCGGAGGAGAGGTTATTGTTGTTGTTCACTGGGACGGCCTCGGCTCGAGCCGGGTCGAACTTCTGCCCGAACAGAGTTCCGCTAGTTAAGAACTCATAAGCCATGTACCCGGCTAGGAGCCGGTTAGACGAGGCCGGCTCGGCTTGCTTCGACGACGTCGTTGCCTTTTGACTGGGACTGCTAACGGCCGTCACTGGACTTGACGGCCACGTCGGATAAGACGCCGTTTCCCTCTCTTTCCGTTTCCTCGACGCCCCCCCAGGTGGCAAGAATCGCCGCGCGTGATAACTCATCTCCACCGTCCGTTTCCACTAATCTAATCTTACTCGATCAATCCCAGGCTCGCCACGTCAGCAGCGAGAATTTTTAATTAACCCCTAAAAACCGAAAAAAAAAAGATTATTCGACGCAAGGGCAAAACCGTCCAGCCACACAAACTAGCCAGGAGAGAAAACGGCCGAAACGGTAAAAAGGGTGGAAGGGAAAGTGGGGTCGCAAAATTTTGCAGTTAGGTTGGAAATGTAAATTCACTTCGAACTAAAAATAATAACCCAAAAACCTTTTTTTTTTCCGCAGGAAAAAAAAAAGAAAAAGAAAAAGAAAAACAAAATCGTTATAATTTTTTTTTTAATGAGAGCAGAAGAGAGAGAGATATGGACGGATTTTGGAGTTGGATACTTGGAAGAGGTGAAAGGAGATCCGGAAGGGCCGCCGGAATCGGGCGGATCTCGGCGAGCGTACGGTGGTCTCGGTGGCGTCTCCGCCGTGTGCGGCGGCGAAATCAGATAGGAAGTTCAAATCAGGAAGAGAAAGAGAGAATAGAGAATAGAGAATAGAGAGAAGAGAGAAGGGAGAGGGTTACGGAGGGGACAAAAATGGGGAGAGGCGATGAGTTATATAGGAGGGATGGGCTATATAGTCCTATATATCTATTTTCCGACGTTTCACTTTCACCCCTCATTTTTCACATTATTAACCAAAATGCCATCCGCGAACCTCCACTAATTTTATCCGAAAATTTGTCACCTTACCTTTTCGCCTTTCGCTATTTAGTTTTGTAAAATTATTCAAAATTATTATTATTGTTGATATAAAATTTTTAATACATTGATCAATATTGTACTCATTGGTATTTAATGTAATCACTTATAGTATGTTTAGTTGTAAACTATTCGATATATTAAAATATCATATAAAATTACACTCATAAAAAACGACACATTGTTATGTTAGTTAAATATCTTGAATTCTCTATTAATATGCGTGATTGTACAAAGCATTGCAAAGAGTACTCAATATAATCAACATAGCATACAAAGTTGTACGCAATACAAATTGACAGAGTGTTGATCGACACTTTAAAATGTTTCGTCTGTCTAATTGTATCACATATTGTAAGATACCAATCAACACTTTAAAAATTATTATTATTATTATTATTATTATTATTATTATTATTATTATTATTATATTTTGACTTTCTTGTGATTTAACGTTGGTCACTATGTTTTGCCCTTATATTGGGTAATAATGCAAGGTAGAAAGAAATTCTTTAAAAGTATCATAATGATAGACAAAATATCTCAAAATAGATAGCTAAGTTGGTATAACATAATTTTTGTATTTAAAAGTTACAAGTTTAATTTTTATCAAAAAATTTTCAGTCAAGTTTGTAGTATAAAATTTTTCAAGTGAATGATTTACTTTTCATGTGTGATTTATAAACTGAACGTGTTTACTCAACACACTCTTGAATAGTGGCTATGTACAAATTAGTTACTTTTGATGTATCATGAAAATATTAATTGTATTATTATTTAATAAATTGATGATAAATTTATGCAAACTAAAATATCAAAATTTGACTTTAAAATCCATTCTTAAAGACACGTACAATAATAATCAAAGGAGTTTTATAGGGATTGCAATAGTTGTGTTCCCATAAGAATACATAATCCTTTATTCGCACGGAATCAGGTCATTAAGTATGTGATTATTAAGCCATTAAGGTCATTGATTGAGTTGTAATTAGATGTTGATTCTTTTCAGTGGAAAGGTTTAAGTAAGGTAAGTAAAGTTTAGTAGCGTAGGTAACCGGGAATTTTTTTATATTTTATTTTTTTTTGAAGGAAACGGAAATTCCATTAAAATCAAATCAAACCAATCCTGAGATACAATCCGGAGGAACAGAGTCCTAGGGACCCAGGACAGACATAAAAACATACGTATGTGCTAACACATGAGCTACCTGATTGGTTAGATTCCTAAATTGGTGTTTTTTTGAAAGCACTACTAGATTGGTTTTGATAACACAGTTTGGAGTTGCTATTTTTAACTGTAAGCTAAGGTAAGAATTCAAATATTAGATTGTTGTTGATAATATGGTTTGGAGTTGGTAACCGTAAGATGGGGATTCAATTATTGGACTGTTGTTGATAATACAGTCTGGAGTTGGCAACCGTAAGGTGGGAATTCAATTACTGGATTATTGTTGATAATACAGTTTGGAGTTAGATTTGTTATGAGAAGTAAGGTAAGTTTCAATAGTATTGGCAATCGTTGGGTGAGAATTCGACTACTAGCTTACTATGGATAATACGATTTAGGGTTTGATCGCTTATGAACATCAATATAGCATGCTCTTGGTTTCTAACTCATTGAATTGAAACATATCTTGTGATTTATTTCTTCGTAAAGCTTTAGAAGTATAATAGAAGCACTTAAAGTTAGGGTACGGTTTGACCTTTATTAATGATAGTGTCTATAATTGTGGCATATTATATCGTGCACTCTGCAATTCATCTTACAAGATAGACCATAGTGAATTGAAACATATCTTGTGATTTATTTCTTCGTAAGGCTTTAGAAGTATAATAGAAACACTTAAGTTAGGGTACGGTTTGACCTTTATTAATGATAGTGTCTATAGTTGTGGCATATTATATCGTGCACTCTGCAATTCATCTTACAAGATAGACCATAGTTTAAAAAATGAACTTAGAATACATTAGCAATGAACATTCAATACACTAAAGATAAACTTATATCAAAACAAACGAACATGCAATAGAATTCATGAATCCATTATGTATACAAATTATTCAATAAACTTGTGGTATACTTAAAGTGGACATGTAGTTAGGGATGAGCATAAAAAAGCTAACCGATCGAATCCATATAAACTTTTAATTTTTTTTTTTTTTGTTATTTTAGTTTTTGATAAGCTATTGGTCGGTTATGGTGTAAGAATTTAATAGGCATTTAATCATAAGGATGTTCAATATTTGGTTGTCGATTATGAAGTTTTAAAAAATTGTCAATTATTTCAATTTTGTGGGTTGGTTATTGGTCATTTATGTCGATGTTAAAAGTATTCCAAATATTAACCGGAAATCAATTGTAGCACACCCCTTCCTATAGGCTATTGTAAACTAAAAATGAATTTATAATATATTAAAAATAACATGTATCAAGATCCATAATATTGTAAACCCGCTCCCCCTCCCCCAAAAACAACAAAAAAAAAAAAAAAATCATAATATTGTGCTTGCATAGTTGTGGAGCATTACTGTGTGGACCATAAATATAATAAAAAGTATATTATGTGTACATAAAATACATTATTTGATGTTTTAAAAAAAATATATTATTTTGTATACTATCAAATAATGTGCATTCAGTATACAAATAATGTACTTCTAATATATTAAAAATGTATCTTATATTCAAGGAAAGTACATTATTTGAATACTAAAAATACATTATTTTGTATAATATACATTCGGCACACAAATTATGTACTTTTAGTATATTAAAAATACATTTTTTATTTATATATATATATATATATATATATATATATATATATATATATAAATTTTTTTTTTATGATTCACATAACACTGCATGGACTATAATCAATATAATAATTTGTCCATAGTTGTGGGGCCAACTTTTTTCTATTGGGTTTAATACTACATTCTATTGGGTCGCATAGTTGTTAGGCTTAGCCCAATAAGCTGTTAATGCTACACATATTATGGTATTATTAAGAGTTACGTGTCAACGTAAATTTCGTACTTACAATGTAACATGTAATTTAACAGCACATAAAAACGTGTATAAATAACATATGAGGATTTTACCACGTTGATATATAAGGCCGGTAACGTGATATAACTTGGGAAAAATATATTTTTCTTTTCAAAAGAAACTGACTCTATTATATTGTAGTATTTATTTATAGATACTTTCTCAATCTGTTAAAACATAAAGAGTCAACATACTGCTTCCACTAAAACTCGATCTCATGACCTCCCACATGGGAAACATGCTATCTAAGCACAAAGTGTTTGGCGGAAAAAATATATATATTTTTTTCTTTTGAATGCTACTAGCTCTATTACAATGTAGTATCTGTTCATATACTTTCTCAAGCTACTGAAACACAAAGAACTAATAACGCCTCCATTGAGGCTCGAACTCACAATCTTCCAAATGGAAGTCCAACCCGGGTACCATTGGACCACATAGTCCTGGTATTTATACATCTCTATTCATTTTAAATAATTCTTGTCTTTCTGACGTTGCAAAATGCATCCTTCGTGTCTCGAAATGGTGTCCGAATGGATTGAACATAATTTTTGTATTAGAAGATTATTATGAGTTCAATTCTTACCAACACGTACTCTATCAATTAAACTCCCTCTTCTTAATGTAGTTACACATGCACAGTATGTGTTTACGTAATGCACGTTCTTAAATAGTAATTACTTATTTTTATCGCTTCTTTAAGTGCTCCATTAATTTGTAACGGTTCAACTCTTTATTAATAACAAATTAAGAATCGCATTTACATAATATATTCCAATCCAAATTAAAGGGTGAAAGTGACAAGTGAGACATCCAATGTTGTCATGAAATTTCCATAGATTCATAATTATCCATAAAATCGCATTTTGGTTTCTTAATTGAGACGCCATATGTGGCATGCCTTATGGAGAATTATGGGGGACCCCTACATGTACTAAGTAGTTAGGTTTACACCCCTATTTCACAACCAACACCCTTTTTAAATCTTATTTCAAAAAGTGTTGACTAAATAAACATTGCAAATTTAGTACTTTTGTACCAAATAAAGAAATATGTATGTATACACTTCTTAATCTTGAAAAAAAAAAAATAGTGTCACTTATTACAGTAGATGTTAATTGTTAAGCGTGAGAAGCTCTTCAATTTGTGGTTCAAATTTATTTTTATTGTTTATATAATATTGATATATGATTTTAATTTGTTCGCTAGAGTATCATTAATTATAATTGTTGCTAAGATTATGATGGTATCTACCTTCAGCTATATGGACATTTTTGTTAAGGGATTTAAAAAAAAAAAAAAAAATTGTTAAGGGATGTTAAACGTCTTGCCATGCAACACTTAGCGTTGGCTTTCGAAACCATCACAAAGTAGTCTAGCGTCAGTTAACTAATGATAAAAGCCTTTGAACTAGCACTAGGTGTTTTGTTCTTCTTATTATTCATATATATATATATATATATATATATATATATATATATATAGTAATGATATACAAAGAGCCACGTCTGCATCAGTCAAAGTGGTGGAAGGCCCATTAAGTCAAATGGAGAGCTTCTTCACTTCTTCAGCTATACATTTTTATCACATAAAATAAGCAAATAATACGAAGTATTTTTTATCTACAACATTCACAGGCCCGACCCTGGGCAAGGGCAGGCTGGGCATGCTAAAAGTTAAGGGGTTGAATCCTCATGTGTACTTTTACATTAAAATTTTCCTCTCTACTCTTTAGAAGATGAATTTAAGGATATTATTATATAGTATATATTAAAATTGTAACTTATGAAATTTATTTCTATTTCTATTTTGTATTTTTAAAATTTAATTTGTAACTTTGTGGTTTTTTTTTTCCTTTCTATAATTATTGTGAGATTGTGAGATTTATAATATAGATAGATTTGTGATTCATATTAATTTTTGAATATATTGTTATTCTAGTAATTTACTACTTATATTTACAACATGTGTTATTTTGTGAATTATATAATGAGTTATGTATATGTAATATTTTAAAAGATAGTTTAAAAGAGGGGAATGGGGGTTGGGAGAAGAAAGGGTTTTGGGGGAAAATTGATTTTTTTTTTTTTAAAAAAAAAAGAAGAAGAAGAAGAAGAAGAAGAAGAAGAAAATGATAATTTTGCCTTTAAATTAATTCACTCACCGAAAATATAGTCATTGATGACTGAAATTTTGATCGGAATAATCAAATGTGGTAAGAATTTAAAAATTATAGAGTCAAATTTAAAAATTTTAATAATAAGAGACTAAATATAGAAATAATCTCATACTTGTGAGATCAAAAGTAAAAATTTCTTTAATCTTGAGTATGATATTTGAACCAAATGCCCTAAACTCGTGTTTCTCTTTGTAATTATTAACGCAGACCCAAAAGTTTGTAAAAGTCGACACTTGGACCCACAAACATTATTTTTGCAACCTAACCTTATTAATTCTCATGTTATTTTAAAGTTTTTCTTTTTGGGTTAAAATGTTAAATACTGTTGAATCTTGATAATAATTAACTAAAAATAAAATCTTCTGATACGGAAGATTCAGGTTGTTGGGCATTTCACGTTTATAAATTTGCGCATTTCCCAAGCTGTCTTTTTTTCTGACTTTGAATCTTCGCTTTCAGCAGTTCCCAGTTTCCAACTCCAGTGCTAATAAAAGCCAAACCACAAAGCTAAGAAACAAAATTAACAGAAAGAAGATAAAATCCTAAAAGCTCTGAATTCTCTGCCTAATCCAGCAAATCAAGCTCATCTTTTCCCCCCTTTCCTTTCTCCGGAAGAAAATGGGCACTGGAGGTTTCAGTCTCTCGTGGGCTCAGTCAATGCCTTTGACCACTCAAAAGGTACTTCTTGCCGTTCTTGGTGGTTAACGTGACTCCCCATTGTTTGCTTCAAGAATAATCATTTGTGGGTCTGGGTTTTCTTGAACTCTAGCTGTCAAAGTTGCTGTCTTTTTAGTTTTTTACCTTGTATCTTGATGTATGTGTCTCTCTTTCTGTAGTGTGTATGTGTTGATGAACTTTCCTGTATGTGTTTTTGAGGTTTTTGATTTGAAAGTGCTGTTGTTTTGCTGAACTGGGGTCAGGAAGTTGACAATTCTTGTGTTTTCTGAAGTGAGTTTTTTGATTCAGCTGAATTTTGGGATTCATGTATTGAAACTTGGTATAATTGCTTCAGATAAACATAGGGGTTTGTTGAATATGTCTCATTGATAGGTTTGTAACGTACTATGTTTAAGGTTGCATATAAATATGATGTCTGTAACTCTAAAGCACATTGCTGAACTACGTAAATCTTGTATTCTTTACTTTCTGCCATTATTTCCGATTCTTGTTCTTGTTATCTCAACAGGGTGTGATCTATATAAGTTTGGATAAATATTACTTGAAATGCAGGAAATATTGTTTGTGTTTCAAGAACTCTGAGGCATTAGGTATTGGATCTACAAGAGGAGAGTTAGTTTTTGCCTGAGATTGCAGAAAATGATGAAGTGTATGTGTTCCGGTGAGCAGTTAAGAGCTGATGAAAAAATCCCGTCGTCAGATTCCCTGGCAACGCGGGACTATTCAGCTGGTGGGTATTCTTCACGAGGCGGTGAGACTGATACGAAAGTGGACACGAGCAACATAGAAGAGGCGGAATTGTCACTTCGTGAGAGTGGCTTTCTGAATTACGAGGTTGGTGTGTCTAAACTCTAAACTCTAAAGTCCCACTTTGTCATTACGTTTTTCGCTCTTATGTGACATATTTGTTTAATTTGGGCATGAAATTCAGGAAGCGAGAGCCTTGTTAGGGAGGCTCGAGTATCAAAAGGGAAACATCGAGGCCGCCCTTCACGTTTTTGAAGGAATCGATGTTGCTGCTGTGATTCCTAGGATTAAACTTTCCATCCTAAGAAGATCTCAACTACCTAGACGTAATTCACTAAGTGACGCTAATCCTCCTATGTCTATGCACGCTATAAGTTTGCTTTTCGAGGCTATATTACTCAAAGCAAAATCACTGCAAGCTCTCGGGAGATTCATAGGTAGTTCCTCACCTTTGTTCAATTCTCGGGTTATGCTTTTATCCACGATAGTTTATGCAATATCGGCTAAATTTTCTTTCAATGTATCATAATCAGAAGCTGCTCATTCGTGCAAAATAATACTGGATACCGTTGAAGCTGCATTACCCGATGGTCTACCAGGAAATTTTGCTTCGGATTGCAAATTGCTCGAGATGTTAAACAGCGCTGTCGAGTTGCTTCCCGAGCTCTGGAAAAATGCGTTAGCTCCCCAAGAAGCAATTTTGGCGTATAGGAGGGCCCTACTTTATAACTGGAATCTCGACGTCCGGATTAAAACTAGAATAGAAATGGAATTTGTGACATTTCTTCTGTACAGTGGTACTGATGCAACTGCCCCGAATCTCGGTTCACAGTCGGAGGGTTCTTTCGTACCTAGGAACAATATAGAAGAGGCGATTCTGTTGCTTCTGGTTCTGCTTAGAAAATCCCTCGTCAAGGGGTGGGACCCGTCAATCTTGGACCATTTGTGTTTCGCGTTATCGATTTCCGGTGAACTTAGGTCGCTTGCTTGCCATGTCGAGGAGTTGCCACCGGGGATTGTACGAAGAAAACAAAAATTCACTATGCTTTCCCTATGTTACTATGCAGAAGGTGAAGATGCAATTTCTCTGAACCTGTTGAGGAACCTTTTGGATAATAAGGAGAGATCGAATTGCACGTTTGAGTTATTACTCGCTGCCAAGATTTGCGGGGAGAATCCCGAGTACCTTGGTGAAGGGATACAATATGCTCGTGGAGTGCTTCCAAGATTTGACGGGAAATGTAAACAGATGGCTAGCGTTGCTAATTACTTACTCGGTGTCTCGCTCTCAGCTCAATCCCGAGCTGTTGCATCCGATTCTCAAAGGACTTCGACACAGTTTGAAGCACTCGAGGCACTCGAAACAGCTCAAAACATGACGGGAGGAAGAAATCCTAATGTTCTTTACTGTCTTAGTCTAGAAAACGCTGAGCAGCGAAAATTGGACGATGCTCTTTACTATGCAAAGGAGCTACTCAAATTGGAAGCGGGGGCTAACGTTAAAGGATGGATTCTTCTAGCTCGGGTATTGTCTGCTCAAAAGAGGTATACTGATGCCGAGAACATCGTTAATGCTGCACTGGAGGAAACGGGGAATTGGGATCAAGGAGAACTGCTACGAACCAAAGCTAAACTGCAAATTGCGCAGGGCAAACTGAGAGATGCTATCGAAACGTATACACATCTCCTTGCAGTTCTTCAAGTTCAGCGGAAAAGCTTTGGAGTTCAGAGAATTCATACCAAGGTATGGTACTAAAAAGATGTATATATGCTAGGATCTTGAGTAATTTCTTGTTCTTTGGACCACTATTCTTCTTATTCAGCTAATGAATTTGTAGTTTTCCTCTTCTAAAGAAAGTGGAGGATATAAGATCAAGCCCTGACAGTCGCAGTTGGGAGTTATACCCAATGTGGTGGGTTCCTTATGGGCACCTGGCACTGGTCCTCCCACCTAATGGGCTACTAGTCACCGTGCCCCGAGGTGTAGGGACCCTTGGGACGAGGGAATTTCGTCTTTTGAGTGTGATTTAATGAATTCTTTATTTAGTTTAAGACTTTAAGTTGTCTTGGATTTTTCTTCGACTTCCTCTCTTATCAGCTCCATGTGTGACCCACAGAACACGATGAATAGCAGAAGTTTAGAAATGGAGACATGGCATGATCTCGCAAATGTATACACTAATCTATCACAGTGGCGGGATGCTGAAGTTTGTCTTTCAAAGTCCGAGGCCATAAGCCCTCATTCGGCTTCTAGATTGCACTGCAGAGGTACATTTCGCTTTATTCACACCATGACTTTCGCACTACTGGAAATTATGGAATTTCCGACCACCTGAAACTGATATTAAATCAAGTCGAAAGTAAAAAGTGGTCAGAAATAGCAACAAAGGTTTTTCGACTTGATTTAAGATCACTTTCAGATGGTCCGAAATTCCATAATTTCCAGTAGTGTCGTGACTTCCCTCGTTTTCTTCCTTAATTTTGAAGTTGAAGGGCATATTTCTTGGTCATTTTGCTAGGATTACTTCATCAATCTATGGGCCAATACATGAAAGCCTTGAGATCTTTCGAGAAGGCTTTGGATATCGAACCCAACCACGTTCCAAGTTTAGTATCCATGGCCATTGTTCTCAGACAACTAGGCGGTCCATCACTGCCCGTCGTGAAATGCTTCCTCACTGATGCATTGCGGCTTGACAGAACAAACGCTTCCGCTTGGTACAATCTCGGGTTGCTTTATAAAAGTGAGAATGGTGCATCCGCGCTGGAAGCTGCAGAGTGCTTCGAGGCTGCCACTCTTCTCCTAGAATCTGCACCAGTTGAACCTTTTAGATGATCCAATTCCTAAATTCACATTTGCAGGTGTTTTGCTTACTAGATACACACCACCTTTTGTCATTGTTGATTTTTTTTCTTTTTAACAGATGTATAGTACATTAGTACATACAAACCCAGAAGTCATACAAAACTATCATATGTATCTGAGCTTCCTAGATTATAGTTAGAGGAAAAACCTGTTTTTGAATTTCCATGTTCAGAAATATGTACTGTGATCCTAGCCAGCAAAGGATTACAATGAGATAAATCAGCCTAGGTTGCCCATAGCTGACAATAGGTCGTTCCCACTGGGAGTCGGACTTGTAACCTTTTGGTTATCAAGCGATAAGTCTGAACAACTTAGTTGGACAATTTAAAAAATGCCCTTTTCTCCTAAACAAATAAAAAAAAAAAAACTGAAAAATAAAATAAAATATGTGTTACAATGTATAACCTTTAAAGAAGGACAATGCACCTAGTTTTCATTAAACCATTTCCTTCAAAAATGCACAGCAGAAAGCTTTTGCTGTTTTCTTTCTTAATTATTCAGAAAGATGTCAAGAATTTGTAGCCTATGATGTCCTCATGTACATTGTTCTATGACAGGGCTATCCTTTGTAATAGCACTACACACTTCAGTGCTCATAGCTAAGCTACTCAAAAAAACACTAAATTCTACCAGTTCTAAGTTAACCAAAAAAATGGGAAAAGTTTTATTTCTAGGAAAAACTCATGCTGTTTCAGTTTCAGTTTCAGTGGTTTCATCAGTTGATGGAGTGGCTGGTGATTCCACAGCTGTGCTGCTGCTGCTTCTTGAACTGTACCTTGTGAGCAGCCTGTCTTTGTTTTCTCTCCACCATTCCTCGGCCTGCTGTGAATCGAATCTACGTTTACTGCAACAATGTATAAACCGTGACAGGCATTAATCTGTTATTTAACGCGCATTTTAGATCACAACTTTCTGTATAAATCCCTGTGGTGAAATATGTTGGGCGGAGGCCAGTGAAGGACCAAGTCCAGCACCAGGTGGCTAGAAGGATTGTTGGGCGGAGGCCTGAAGGACCAAGTCCAGCACCCTGTCTCTCGAAAATGTGGCGGGGGTAAAAGTGTAAAAAGAAATCGAGGGAAGCAGTGATAGTAGGAAAATGGCGGTTTTGTAGGTACCTGAATCTAACTCTCTTGAAGATCTTGGAACCGTTTGAGAATTCGATGAGCGTGACATAGATGCCTGGCTCAAATTGCTCGATGACTTCCCTTCGTCCCATGCTTGGAACTCGAGATGGTCTAGCGCCACCTTCTGCAATTGAATGACTTACGCCATTTCCATCGATGTTGTGAGGAGACTCACTGCCTGAGCTTGGCAAAGAAGAGAAGTCTTCGGAGCCTTGAGTCTCGACTGTATTCAGAAACGATTCGACTTGAGCATTGAGGGAGAAAATGGTTTCCCTCTCAGATATATCAGAGGGCAGCTTCTCAGACATCTCTTTCAACTGACAAACAAAGAAAAGAGTCAATCCCGGGCTTGAATCTCAAATGATTTACAATATGCAGCAAACCAGAATATATAACACGACATTTTTAGTTTCATATGTGCTTTTGGAAAATTTCAAACAAACTAAAGCAAGAGTATATTGGCATTACTTGAGAACTAATGGATTTCACGATTTCAATTGCAGTGTTGCACTTGGACGATCGATCTGCAGCCAACAAAGCAGTATCTTGGACGTTTTTCTTCATCTTCCGGATTTCCACATCTTGAAGTTCACTTTTCTGTTTTATACTTTTAAACTAGAAAAGAAAGTATAGTCAATGACAAAAACACAACAAATCCATTCTGGAAAGCTCATTTGTCTACCTGGTTTTGCAGTTTCGTAACTTCCTGGTTCAAAAGCTCATTTGTCTTCTTAAGACTGTCAACGACGCCCCTTGAAGATCCGGGAGTAGGAGCAGGAGAGCGTGGAGGGCTTGGTCTTCTCGAGGAATACGGTGAAGTGGAGCGAGAATTGGGAAAAGACGGTGGAGGTATAGCTAATAGAGGCTGTTGAGTTGGGGCTGTCATAACAGGCTTCCAAGCAGACTGAAGACTAAGTGAACTCGGGAAAGCTATATCTTTCAACTGCAAAAGCGATGGAACCTGAGAAGCTCTCACTATATTATAAGAATCAGTTCTGCTTCCGGGCTTGTTAGACTTGATCTCGAGGTACTTAATTGGCTCCATCTTGGAAGACAGAAGGATTCTCGAAGACTTGATTTCGCCCTTCTCTAAAAGCCGCATAGGCAGGCTTACTTTCTTGAAATAATTCGAGGCCGTGGACTGCTGCCCTTGCCCTTCAGCAGCTTTTTTCAGTTTCAAATGGCAAGGGTCACAAACGCGGTGTGGTTTACCCGGTGTGGGGGCCAGTGCTGCTTTGAGCGCCTTCTTGGAGCTGCACGCGTGGCAATGCACGAGGCCACAGTTGTAACAGTTGTGTCTCTTTCTGGTAAAACCGAACGCCTGCCTGCAGCCGGTGCAGACCGACTGATCTGCACCCGAAACCCACTTGTGAATGCAGATACTCGCAGTGTAGTTTGAGCCACAGGCTATGTTCTTAACATGCTTATCCCTAAACGCCTCGACCAACGTTGGGCTATTACGATCTTCTGTATCCCCGTGTCCCAGTCGTCCATTCGCGCCTCGTCCCCAGGTAAACACTTCGCATCTTGAAGTCAGAGCAGCAACGTGGAAATCGCCAGACGAGATATCCTCAACGAATTCGCCCACCAATCTGTCTTGTACGAGACACGGCTGTTTCCCATCAGAATCGGGGTTTCCTAGCTGACCAAACGCGTTACTCCCCATTGTGAACACATGGCCCGACATTGTAAGGGCGACGGTGAAATTATGCCCACACGCTACCTGGTGCATATTGTACTCTATCAGAGAAGAAACAATGGTTGGGAGTAGAAACGTGTTCTTGTTCCCATGGCCTAACCGGTTTTTATCTCCATCGCCCCAGGTGAACAGCTTCCTGGAGGCGACGCTCCCACCAGACTGGTTAGAAACTTCTATGATTGCTGCAGTGTGCCATACCCCACACGCGACTTTGATAGTTTTGAGGCCATCCAACGTGTGGACTTCCTTTGGAAATGTGATGCTTTCGCGGTTGCCATGACCCAGGGCGCCAAATGTTCCCTCGCCAACCGTGAATAGTCTGCCCGTGTTAGTAGTGAAAGCCGAATGCCATGTGCCACAGGCGACGGATAGGACTTGGAGGTCTTCTAGCACCCCACAAACGCGCTTGGGTATCCAGTGGCTAACGTCATTGCCATGCCCGAGAAGTCCAACGTTATGGGCGCCATCGCCCCAAGTATACAAGTCCCCCGCGGCTGACACCGCGCAAGTGTGATGCTCACCACACGCCACGAAATCAACGTTTGTAACCGCCAGAAACTCAACGAGCCGAGGGTGGCTAAAGTCCTTCTCGACTCCATGCCCGAGCCTCCCACCAGATTCCTCTCCCCACGTGAAAACTTCGCCTTGCCTCGTCACAAGGGCAACGTGGCGAGCCCCACACGCTATTTGCTGAACATCGAGGACCACATGTGACTCCAATGGCTTAGGCGTGAGAACATCGGCTTTTACAGTAACTGGATTGCCATACCCATCTTTAGATGCTCCATCAGACCAAATCTCCCCCCAAACAAAAACATCACCTAAAGATTCTATATCATCCGGTCCGGATAAACAACTTGGAGTGCTCGAGACACTAATACGGAAACCATCTCCACCTGATCTTACTTGCATATTTGCACGATCCAATACCACATCTGATTCACGAGAACTAGAATCAGAAAAACTACTCTCAACGCTAAGTCTTGAAGTGTACTCTAATGTTGTCGCTCCAAATGGACGATCGTTTTGTGTAAAACCACCACCACCATGGAAAAGCTCAAATCCATAAGTAGAAGCCTATCATTAATATCCACAAAACAAAAAATTGGTCACAACAAGTAAGCAAACAAACAATGAAGTTCATCCACTTTTTTCTTGAATCTAGCTTCTAAAACTGTTTTAAAGCTTTCACAATGACAAATACATACTTCATATTTGGTTATCTGTGGAAGTTTCTCAAAGAAAAGCAAGGAAAGAGATAAAGAGTTTTCACATACTTATAACTATAATAGCAAGCGTGGAGCGGAAGATATTCACATACCAATTTTTTTTTTTTTGGGTGACGAGTGAAACCCGCAACCACTACTTAAAGGTGTACACTGGGTAAACCCCGCCTTGTGACCCTAGCCAGCAAAGGACCACAAACCAAGAAGGCCAATAGGCCCCTCCCTCCAGTTGGGAGTCGAACTTGTAACCTTGTGGTTACCAAGTCAACAGCCTGACCAATTTGGCTAGGGTATTATTCACATACCAACTTCCTGGTTCTAAGGCTGACTAACATGTGTACATACAAGGATGTTTTGTGCCCTAAGGTGAGCGATTTTTTATTTTTTTTACTGGTTCAATTTCTCATAGTTCATCACTTAATTATAAAGAGCAAGGATGAGAATTTCCGCACATCAGGAATTTCGCTATGAGAATGTCTGTGATGAGCTGGGCCAGTCGAGATTAAAGATGTGAGTCCAGCAATCCAAACCTCTGCTTCAACTTTGTCCTTGCAAATCTACAAAACCATAATAGTTTTAACCTATCAATTGTTTAATTAGCTTTCAACGTATGCTTGAAATGTAATGGCCATTAACTTATACATCTGTTTCACTAACCAGATCAAGAGATCGTTCACCGTTGTTATATATAAGGGAAAAAGACAAGTACTCCTTTTCTGGACGAAAAAATCTTTTGAATACTGGCTGCAGAAAACATTTGCAAACAAAAGTTTATCGTTCTTTATCTTCCAAATAGCTGAACAGATTTCTCAATCGCCAAAAGGCTGCAGGTTAGAGTGTTAGACGAGATCAAAGTACATAATCGCAATCCACACAAAAGAGATTAGTTAAGTTAACTCACTGTTCTCTGTCCAGGAAGAATTTTGGAAACAGTAGATAGGTTTAGACTTCTCTTTGATCCATGGGAGTACCAAATCAGCGTCTTCTCATCCTGGAAATATCATCATGTAAATATTTATAAACAAGATTGCCGATTCATGTTAATTTTGAAATGCCAATACTTCAAATTGAATGAAAGATATTATCTTTTTTCCTAGTGAACTAATCTCTGAAATGAAACAAGAGTATATGCTCAGCGTTTTAGCGTAAATATGTGGAGTTATCATGCAATCAAAACGACAAAGGAGCAATTATTACCGGAGAAAGTCTAAAAGGGCACAACTTAGGCTTCCCCTTCCTGCTGTACTTAACTAGCTGTGTACCTTTCTTCAAAGCAAGGAGTCCCTTCAGAGGAAGGTAGCAACACAAAAATTAAAGTGATTAACATCTCACCAATGATCAATCAAAACCTACACTTCATTATGAAATCAAATACGAACTACATAAATGCCATTCAAAAATATATGAGCTGATTCCACCTAAATTACATTCCCCCTTAGACACTTAGACAGGTTTACACAATCCCTACTCGAGTCACTCAATCATAAGGTCGGGAATTCAAACCCACACTTGGAAGAGTTGTCTGAATGACCCGACAGAAACTCGATTGGATTAGTCTCACCCACCGAGAATCACTTAACCATGAGATCAAGAGTATACAACAACACATTTGGAAGAATTGTCTGAATGACCCGACAGAAACTCGATTGGATTAGTCTCACCTATCAAGACTCACTTAACCATGAGATCAATAGTTTGAACCCATATATATATATATAGAGGCTTAGATTCACATTTCAGTCTTTTTTCCATATATAGATATATAAAGCAACACTTTTGGAAAAGTTACCAACAAGCCCAACAAAACCAAACCACATTAGTCTCACCCAATGAGATAAACAGATACAAGATTGAACAAAAAATTAAAAAATAATGAAAAATAATAATAAGATTTCTTCAATTTCACATGGGATTTGGGGAAGGGGGGAAATGACAAACCTGGTCATTGCCATGACTAGCAAGATCTGCCATTCCATCTGAAACAATTATTGATCAGCCACCACCTAAAAACCCAATCTTTCCTCACCATCCCAATAGTCATCATAGATGCCGATGCAATCCTCCTTGACCTATCATCAACTTCCCACCACTACTCGTTTTTTCTGGCCCAAGTTAATGATCCATTCTCGAATCACCAAGACACCCAGAAATCTTCATGAATTTTGTGAGCATTGATTCATGCATAATGGGGTGTTTGAAAAATGGATAATGGAGAATTGGATTGCTCAGAACGGGATCGGAGAAACAGAAAGAGGAAGAGCGAGCGAGACTTCACAAGTTTAGGAGAATGTCAGGATACCGACTTTGGCGCGCTTATTTGGTTCTCTCCACCTAGTAATTAACTAAACATGTTTTATTTATTTATTTATAATTATAATAATATTAATAATAATAATAATAATTTTATTTATTTATTTATTTTTCGGGTGACGACAAAACCCACCGCTACTATATTATCTCAACAAATGAAGACATTGAGGTAGACCAACCCAGGCTGAATTAATTATTTATTTTTTGCATGTTAAGTTTGATATTGCACAAACTATCCTAATTACTATATCACCATTGGCAATTAATTCTATCTTAAATAAAAGGTGCATAATTTTCATTTTGGTATGTTCTATATTGTGATTGATTAATAACTTCAAGAGTTAAATAATCATTTCATTAAAACGAACACTAAATTGAAGATATTTATTTACAAATGTAATTTATATTTATATTTCTTTATATATTAAATTTAGTATATTGACACCACTAAAATTGAATCACTTAAGTACGATGAAAAACAGATGTTTTTATTTAATCAACTTGGATTTGCTTGACAATAACCATGATGAGTATCTATGAACATTATTCACGCATGTGTTTAACAATTGGTACAAATGAAGTGGATCTTAGAACACAGTCACCTGAACACGACACTGTGATTACTGTGACAACAATGATGAAAATGGAGCAAAGAAAATGGAAGGATTGCAGAGTCTAGGCAATTGCTGGATCTTTGTATCTCTTGAACACATCTTCAATGTCCTCCATTACCTGAGGTGGAAGAGGTCGTTGCGTCGTCAAAACTGCAGCAATGTCTTCCTTCAGTTGATCCAAGGATGTTGCGCCTATGATTGAGCTTGCCATGAATGGACGGTCTCGCACAAAACCAAGCGCCAACTCGACTGGGGTCAGGCCGTGTTTCTTAGCCACTTCAATGTACTTGATCGTCGCTTCCTAGAATTCAAACGCGAAAAAAGTTCCCAATGCAGTAGTTATATGGTGCTCATACTTGGACATGATAGAGACAACATATTTGTTGAGCATATAGGTGCAATCCAACTATCAGTTTTGGTATTATGGGTGGCGCTGAGATTTGAACCCTAGCTCTGATATCAAATTAAAGCATGTGTTCCATCTCAACTAAAAGTCTAAGCTGATAGTTGGATTGCACATTAATGGCTATATGCTCAACAATATTCACATTGAAAATAAAGAGATACAATCATACAATGTGTGTTTATTAGCGGGAGAAATCCTCCATTTTTCAGGAGAATTAAAGTAACCTGAAAATTGCATACCTTTGAAAGAGATTTGCCGTATCTTTCCATATAGCCAGGGAAGAGGTTAAGCCTTCCTTTTCGGGCTGCTTCAGATTCAAAATCTATGTACTTTCCAGACAGTGTTCCACCAGCTAGCGGAGAGTAAGCAAGTAACCCAACGTTGCAGTTGTTTGGGTGGCATACTTCAACGAGATCAACTGTAAAAATCAATTAAAGCTTGATAATTAAATACATTAGATAGATAGATCATTCTGTATGGTTTCATGACCCCCAAACAGGAAGGAGAAATAAATGAAGTATGATCGAGCAATGGGAAAACTATCAGCCTTCCAAGCGTGCAAACTTGGCATAATTTCAAATGTAAAGCCTGCAGAAGTATGTAGGGTCTATTTTTAAGAATACAGTAAGCAGAGGATTCTGTGGAAAGACCGAAAGATAACTTACTTTCAAACTTGCACCTCACAAGAAGGCTGTAGCTGTTCTGGATGCTGACAATCTTTGGTAATCCTTCAACTTTGGCAGAGTGAACGAACTCCATCACTCCATACGAAGTTTCATTTGAAACACCAATATAGCGCACCTGAATATGTTCTGCCAGTTTGGTAAAGCTAATCTAATCATATTCTGAAGTTTTCTCTCTTTACAGAGTTTCTAGTATTTTGCTGTAAAGGATAAAGGAGTTCTCAAGGACATGGTTTATGCAATTGATAAGCATTCATCATTCTCAGAAAATAAAATATCTAGCTAGTGCTACCTTTCCTTCATCAATGAGCTCCTGAAAGGCTCTCAGCTGCTCAACAACAGGCACGCTTGCTCTCCATTTTGAAGGGTCATAAAAAAATTCACCAAATAATGGTACATATCGGTCTGGCCTGAGGCAAAATGTAAAATCATACATGCCCAGTACTCTATATGTGAAAATGCATAAATATACATGCGTGTGTAACAAAATTTGAACTCATTGATAAGAAAATCAAGTTACATTCTGTCTCTTTTATCCATTTCCGTTTGCCCTCTTCATACAAAATATGCCTTTGAAGTTTGAAGAATTTGCCCTCATCTATCATGCATGCATGATGCATTTAGATGTTTCAAACACATTTTTTCTGATAGTATTTCGTATCTCTAATTGATTCATACACTTAGCATGACATGAATATTTTAACCAGAAGCCTGCTATTCAGAAGTAAGCTTCTGGAGTCAGAAATGAATTACATGCCAACAAAAACTCACCAGTGTATTTGCAGTAAATCAATATAATCTGTATTAAGACGTTTAAGGCTTTTCTCCACACTTTCTTTAATATTAGCTGCATCAACCCGCAAGATCTTTGCATTGTCACGTATATAGCCTGCTCGTTCTGAGTAACCACAAACTTTTGTAGCCAAAATAACCTAAAAACAGGGAAAATGTGTATTATAATATAATCTGGAACTGAAATGGATGCCCAAAAACAAAAGCTTAGCCACCGTGAGTCAACCACAACACGGCTATTATCTTTAGTAGTTACAAGCATAAAAGATGCAGCTTCTAACATCACAGTGGTAGCAGACTGGCAACTAGTTTTCCAATGATCTTGAGTCTTGACAGAAAACCTCATTCCAGCATCGTAAATACTTCTTAATTCTTTGCAGCCAGTGTATCAATATGAATCCATGGAAACCAGTAAGAATTGCTTATGGTTGGAATTTGGAAGATTCTTCAAGAATTTTCTTCAAATTTGCACCCAGTGTATCAATATGAATGTGGAAACCAGTATGAATTGCTTATAGTTGGAATTTGGAAGATTCTTCCAGAATTTTCTTCCAATTGAGATTAAAAGGAAGAAGAAATCCCAACAGAGTATTATACTATTATGACCAAAAATTGCCAGAATAGAGAGTAGAGACCACTCTTTATATTCTCTAGAGTAACAAAAAATATAGTCAATCAACAGAGATTAAAAGTACCTTATCACGAGGTTGAGACTTCAGCCAATTACCAATATAGAGATCTGTCCTCCCCTGTGTCTCCTTTTTCATAGGGATTGGATACTTTGGAAATTAAAAAAATAAAAATAAAAAAGTAAGATAAATGTTTTAGCTAAACCTAGATATTTATATCTAGAAAAGACAGATGAACAATTAAAATATAACTAAATAAAAAAAGAGAACTCCACTAATTAAATCTCTTATATTCACCAGTACCATCCATACAATGATAAGGAGATAAGAAGAGAGCCAGTGAACTTTTTCTAAAGTTATTTTTAACCACATTTTGAAGGATGTGAAAAGAAACTAGAAAAAAAATAACAAAGGGAACTCACAGCCTCGGCAGTGTCTAAAGCATTAATTCCCTGCTCAAAAGCATAACTAAGGATCTCATGAGCTTCCTTCTCCGTGTTCTGTTCCCCAAATGTCATCTGAAACATTACAGACACCATTAAACATACCACAAAACCACCAAAAAATCGTTTAATTACACGAAAATGATCAATTCAATTAGGATAGGGAGGGAGAAGGAATGCTCACCGTTCCGAGAGTAATTTCGCTGATGTTAAGATCGGAATCCCCCAACTTCCTGTACTCCAATGCGGTCTTCTGTGCGATTGCAGCAGTGACGAGCAACGCAGTCCGTCGCTTGCTCCTCGAGCGGACACTCCATGGCGAATACAGTCGGCGAGTGAGCAGATAATGGCCGGCAGTTTGAGCGGTTGAGGCGGCGGTAGAGTTGAGAAGAGGCGGCGGGGACACGGCGGAGGAGCTGGACCAGGAAGCCATGGCTGGGATTTTGCCTTATCAGAATAAAATGATTTAAAAGAAATGCGTTTTGTGAGAGGAGGGAATTGGTAACGGACTAAATGTCACTTTGTTCAGGCAGGCACTTTGGGCTTTTGGGCATATAGTGTTATTGAGCCCAAACAGACATCCAGCCCAACAAAATTCTCCACATCTGGTCCAAGTTTACCAGCAATTATACTGTGGACCACGGTCCACAAAGGTCCATAAAGCTTTGTGGACCATGGTCCAAAACGGCAGACACTATAGTGGCAATTTATATTGTGCACCATGACGCACATAACAATGTGTGCCCAGACACAAAACACACGCGTTTTTGCTGACGTCATTTCGTCCGTCCGAACAGACCAAACCTCATTATGTGTATTCAGTTAAAATTAAAGTTTATGTGTATTGTATTATGAGTTTATGTTTATTATGTTAACCAAACCCCATTATGTGTATTCAGTTAAAAGTTTATGTGTATTGTGTTATGAGTTTATATGTATTCAGTTAATAGTTTATGTGTATTATGTTAAAAATTTATGTGTATACTGTTAAGAGTTTATGTGTAATATGTTATGAGTTTATGTGTATTATGTTATAGTTTATGTGTATTATGTTATAGTTTATGTATTATGTTAAGAGTTTATGTGTATTACGTATTATGTTATATTATGTGTATTCTGTTATGAGTTTATGTGCATTCGAAACATAGTTTTTTTTTTTTTTAACAACTTAACAAAACGACGTTGTTTTGGAGGCGCGAAGCGCACAATGCTATATGCGCCGTGGCCCGTGGTACACGGTATAACGAAGTGCTATATGCACCGTGGTACACGGTATAACGATTGCACTATAGTGTATCTAAACTAACACTGTCTCACCTATTATTTTTATTAGAGTTAATTATCGAAATGGTCCCTTGACTATAGCGAAATTACCAATTTGGTCCTTGACTATTTTTTTAACCAATTAAGTCCCTCAACTTTAAAAATCTTAACCAATTTGGTCCTCCGTTTGTTTGACTGTTAGTCAACCGTTAACTTGGGACCAAATTGGTAATTTCGCTATAGTTAAGGGATCATTTTGGTAATTAACTTTAGGGGTGGGCAATTCGGTTTAGTTTTCTCGAACTGAACCGTACCAAACCGAACCGAACTAGTTTGGTTCGATAATATACCGAACAATCGAACGGTATTGGATTCTTGTATACCGAACGGTTCGATAAAAAAACTTTAGCGGTGGGCAATTCGATTTAGTTTTCTCGAACCGAACCAAACTAGTTTGGTTTGATAATATACTGAACAACCGAACGGTATTGGATTCTTGTATACCGAACGGTTCGATAACAAACCAATCCGAATTGTTCGGTAAAAATTTGAACTAAACCGAATACTGTTTTTTTTAAATATAATAATAATAATAATAATAAATAAATAAATAAATAAAAGTAAATCCAAGTCCCTTGCTGCTTGCTCAGTCGTTCAGCTCATATTCTCAAGGGTATCTCTCGTAAATGTTTTATTTGATTTTTTTATGGTTTGTTATCAAAAGTTCTATATTATGTGTTATGGTGTTTACATAGTCCATATCCAAAGTCTAATATATAACAAAATAGCAATCCAAAGTTCAAACGGTATTCGGTCCGGTTCGGTTTTTACCGAACCGTTCGGTATACAAGAATCTATTATCGTTCGGTATATTACCGAATCTAACTAGTTTGGTACGATTCGGTTCAAGAAAACTGAACCACATTGCCCACCCTTAAATTTAATTACCAAAATGGTCCCTTGACTACAGCGAATTACTAATTTGGTCCCAAGTTAACGGTTGACTAACGGTCAAACAAACGCATGACCAAATTGGTTAAGATTTTTAAAGTTGAGGGACTTAATTGGTAAAAAAAAAAAAAAAAAAATAGTCAAGGATCATATTGTCCAACAAAACTGTAGTTATATCAAAATCATACTGTAGTTGTGTTGAATAAAATAAAATTCAAATTTTATTTAGGGCAGTTGTGTTGAAATAAAATAACATTCAAATTTTATTTAGGGCAATCCAAATAACAGGCTAACAGCCGCCCCTAGTTGGCTGAATAGAAGGAAGCAGCCAACTCTTTGCTTCGTTTGTCAAAATAAGCATAGGCTTTCTCTGTGTCTGGCAAGTCAGCTTTGATGACAGGGTGATTCAGAAACCTGTTCTTCCATTCAGCAATGGCAGGAAATTTCTGAGAATCAAAGATTTTCAGTGATGCAACTTCCTCAAAAATGGGGAGATTGTGGGCAACCCATCCTACCACAAGGTCCAAATACCCAATCTTCTCCCCTCCAAAGAACTGCTTCCCATTAAGCTCAGCTTCCAGCTTCTCCATGGCTTCCATGGCTGAGTTTACTGCACTTTCTTGCTGTTTCCCTTTGGAACACAGTGCTTCCCATGCTGGGTCCAGAATCTGCATACACATCATTCATACAAGCTAAACTCTCACTTCCGCGATCATGGTTTGAGTATGTGTATGGGATAAACTTTATTTTTTAATTGTACTCTAGCTAATAGAGTTGTTAAAATAGGCTTAATTTGTCCTGTCCCACAAAAAGAGCGGGGCGGGCTCCGCCATGACCTGCAAGGTTAATTAAGGCAGGGTGGGGGCATGACCGGATTTGGGCTGTGCAAGTTGCCAATAGCACAGAGCCTCAAATTTTAGAGTGTCCACTATTTAATTTTTACCTAGCTAGTTAAGAAATTAAAATTAAAAAAAAAATTGCAATTAATCTTAAAAGACTATAGAGGAATGATAGAAACGCGTGTCTACAGTGTTTCATCTTGGAAGTCAGGAGTTCAGATCGCGCTTCTAATAGGGCCTTATTTATTTACAAGAACGGAACCACAAAAATCTAAAAACCGACCCTGGGTGGGGGAGCGGCCTTTGTTAGACCCACCAAAAGCCGCCTGCCCTGGCCATCAAATGGCGGGCTTTGGAGGGGCTCACCACTCCCGCACCATGTAGCCAGTAAATAACCAGAAAGAGGTATAATACACCAGTCAAAGTTACATGATGGATTCAAACCAATATTGTCAATATACTGCTATCATAGATAATTTGAACTCGAAACTTTATGGTAACTAAGCTAACAGTTTGGCTAACTTGGCTGGACTACCCGATATGCAATGCAACTTTAACAAAGAGTTGAGTATCCTAGCTAGCTAGAACACCACAAAACCAGAGGTGATAATGCAGTTAATCTATTATGTACCTTAAACTCGGCAAATCCAGCCCAGAACCGAGCCCTGGCACGTTCATATGGATCTGCAGGCAACAAAGGGTTATGCTTCCATGTCTCATCGATGTACTCGAGGATGAGCAGCGACTCAGGCAATGGCTTCCCATTATGAACTAAGACAGGGACCTTTGCATGAACTGGGTTCAGCTGGGAAAGCAAAGGAGTCTTGTTGAAGATGTCTTCTTCTATATATTCATACTCAAGGCCTTTCATTCTAAGTGCCCATTTCACTCTCAGTACAAATGGACTCACCCAAAATCCCACCACCTTCAACCCCTCCTCTGCTGCCATTATCACTACTGTTATGTTTCTGTCTTGTTTTTCTCACCCGGAATGGCTTCTTCTGCTTGCATTTATGCTTTGTATTTATAGGAAGTTTCCTTGTACTGTAGCGTGGACAAGTCAAGAATGGTTGGCTTTGGGTTTGTAGTCCTTAGGGGTTTAATGTAGTTGATTTGTGGCTTGACTTAAAGGTTATGATCAGATGCGACAGTATGGGAGTTTGAATCCACTGAAAATAACTCACTCATAGGCACATGAAGTGATAAATCGTGTCAACATAATATTAGCGAGCCCAACCCAAATTCAAACTTAAACTCTCAATGTCTATGGTAGGAAGTCAAGTACTTTGTGGTTAGATGGCATGTAGTGACTCTCTCATATGGAGGTCATGAGATCACTTCTTAGTGGAGGCAGTGTTGACTCTTTGTACTTCAACAGGCCGGCCTTTGTGGAGGCAATGTTAACTCTTTGTGCTTCAACAGGCCAGCCTTAGTGGAGGCAGTGTTAACTCTTTGTGCTTTAACATATTGAGAAAGTATAGATTAATGTCCGACCCCAAATTACTAAATTAATGCCTCAGAATTCATTGCACATTGATCTTTCTAATGTAATTATACAAAATGAAATGCATGATTGAAAGATTTCGTGTGCAGTGACGTTGAACAAAGTGCTTGAAAATTAAATCGACTAAACATTCAATTAATAATATTGCAAAAGTACAAATTGATTTTGAATATACTACTCACCATATTTTCAAAATAATCGAATCTATGGTGTAAAGTTTTCTAGAAAGCAAGCTAGAATCTGGATTTGTTCTTTAACGATTAGAACATTTGTGGAAGACTAGGATTGTGCGTGAACGATAAGAACAAGATAGAATCTTTTTTTTTAAACAAAAAAAAAAAAAAAAAAAGTGGAATCTGTGAGGATGAAATTGAAATTGAATTTTGGCTTCGTTTGGAAAGCAGGAAAATGACTATTTCCTTTTCGGTATTTGGCTACACAAAGTAAAAATATTTTTTGTGTGTTTGATTCATTTTCCAGAAAATGAGTTGAAAAATGAAAACAATTGGATACTTTAAAATTGTAATTGTTTGATATTTTTGATAAAATTCTTAGTGTAGAGCTGTCAAAATAGGCTTAGCCCATGCCCTGCAAAAAGAACAAGACAGGCTTTAATATTTCGGGTTTGTATTTTGACGGGCTTTTTAACCCGACCCCACTTAACCCGCAGGCTTTGACAGGCTGGCGATGCCCGCCAAACCATAATATAAATAATTAATTAATTATATATATATATATATATATATACAGGGTTGCATTCACATGCAAACACCCTTAAAATACAAACATGTGGACAAATACCATGCACACACCTAAATGCGAGCGTGCATACATCCGTAGTATGTATGTGTGAATCCACCGTGTGAAGCTATTCCCTATTTTCCTTTGACTAAGGTATCATTTTCTATTGACCCCATTTTCTCCCATATTGCCAAACACTGAAAATTTGAAAAATATTTTTCAGAAGTTATTTTTTGGGTTTCTAAACGCATCCTAAAATTTTAATGAAGAAATTAAATTCATATAGTGTAATTAAAGCTAAACTTCTAGTACCGAAAATTAAATTCTTCGAGTAATGCTTGCGTATTTTTATTGTAAATAAAAGTGTTATTTAGTTAATTTGACTAATCACTATCACTATATCGTAATAGCAATAGTGTAATGACTTTCATCGATCAGATTATCAGAAGTATAAATATATATGTTTTTTAAACAAATGTAAGAACCTAAGGACCTTATTGAACCCTAATTTTTGTCTATATATGAATATCTGTTGACTTTTTTGGGAGCATCGAGGATCACTCCTTTATTGAAAGCGTGATTCATCACGGGCCCACATGGGCATGTCCTGCGTGAAATAAACGACGCCGTTTGCACTATTTCTGCGGCATCGAGCTCACCGATAATACATCATCGTACTCCTCACGAGTCACGCCCCACTCCAGAAGCTACTCTCGATCGTCTTCTTCATCCTCTCTGATTCAGTAGACTCTGACCTCTCACAGCCATGGCGAAAGAACCAGTTCGCGTGCTTGTCACCGGCGCTGCAGGTACTGTTGTGCCCTTCACTCTTCGCTGTTCGTTCAGATCTGCTTTCTTTTGATTTCAACTCGTTAATCTTTCGTTTTCCTTGCTAATCTCTGAGTTTGTGGTTGAAATGATCTTGTGTGTAGTATATTTGTATGATTTTTTAATTTTGAGCTGATTCTGGAAGGTTTGATTATATATGTTTCACTAACTGAAGTGTTTTTTGAGATTTAAGCTGGGGTTTTGGTAAATCAAAGCAACCCAGAGAGGGAAACTTTGTTTGTTTGGTTTGTTAAATCGAAAGACTCCGGCTTTATTTGTTTTAAGTCTTGGTTTTGAAATCTGTTGGGTAATATGCTTTTGTTTTGGATTCATGTTGATTCCTGGATTTCTTTGCAGCTTTCATCTTTTTTAATGTGTAAGAACTTGCTTGATCTTCATATTTGTGGTTGAACTAGTTTGCAAAAAGAGCTAATCTAGTGAGTTAATGGACTAGTTTTCTGAGGACAACAGAACATAGTGTGGATATTTGTTATCAATGTTATATGCTGCAGATGTGCTAGCTAATTAGGCTCGTCCATGGCTATATGTGCAATTTTTGGATGTGATTTATGTTCTCTCCAAATGGGTTGGGATGATATTTGTTTCTTTCTATTCCTTTATACTGTGATGTATTTACTGAAAGGGGCTAGTTTTTCAGGACAAATTGGATATGCTCTTGTTCCAATGATTGCTCGGGGTGTGATGTTGGGTGCTGACCAACCTGTAATTCTCCACATGTTGGATATTCCACCTGCTGCAGAGGCGTTGAATGGAGTCAAGATGGAATTAGTTGACGCCGCTTTCCCACTTCTCAAAGGTTCTTGCTCACCATCGCTATAATCCCTAGCCTTTTTCCGCTTTTTTTAATCCGTTATAGGACATCCTTATCTTCCCTATTGTTGTTCTTAGTCGTTCTATTTTGATTTGGGTAGTCATGATTTGCGTTAAATCTTATGTGTCTTTTGCGATATATGCACTTCAGGTGTTGTTGCTACAACCGATGCTGTCGAGGCATGTACTGGTGTCAATGTTGCAGTCATGGTCGGTGGTTTTCCAAGAAAAGAAGGCATGGAGAGGAAAGACGTTATGTCAAAGAATGTTTCTATCTACAAGTCTCAAGCTTCTGCTCTCGAGAAACACGCTGCTGCTAACTGCAAGGTGAGATGGAATTTCTCGGAACTTGGGGCTATCAATTACAATTCGTGAACTTAGTTTTTAGATGTCTAACTATATTTTGCTATTTTGATCTGTTTTTCTTTCAGGTGTTGGTTGTTGCTAACCCTGCAAATACTAATGCATTGATCTTGAAGGAATTTGCACCGTCTATTCCCGAGAAGAACATTTCTTGCCTGACTAGGTTGGACCATAACAGGGCCCTCGGTCAAATCTCAGAGAGATTGAATGTTCAAGTGAGTGACGTTAAAAACGTTATAATATGGGGAAACCACTCATCGTCGCAGTATCCTGATGTCAATCACGCAACTGTGAAAACACCAGCTGGTGAAAGGCCTGTCCGAGAGCTTGTTGCCAATGACGAATGGTAAGAAACGAATCTGCAGTTACGGAATCATCATTCCGTAAATTTCTTCTCTTATTTTTGTTCGATGGTAGCTAATATGCTTATATTTTAGGTTGAACGGGGAGTTTATAACCACTGTCCAGCAGCGCGGTGCTGCAATTATTAAGGCTAGAAAATTCTCCAGCGCCCTTTCTGCTGCTAGTTCTGCTTGCGACCACATACGTGACTGGGTGCTTGGAACTCCGGAGGTAAATCTTCTAGCTTTAGTTTGCGCGATATAAAGTGAGATCATCTCGCGCTTTCGATATTGTCAAATGTAGAACTCCATATATTTCATATATCTCAGACTAAGGAATATACATATTTATACAAGAAACTATATACTAACTAAGGTACCAACCAAGGTAAGGATCGGAATACACATTAATCCCTAATATCATGCTAAATATATTCCTACTATTTATAATGTCTAACAGCTATTAACAAGGCGCCTAGGCGCTAGGCGGTCGGCCACCTTGGCGCTCTAGGCGGTCCTCAGGCGCCTAGCGATTTTTTCAACCTTGCAAGTGGCACATTAATCTCTAATATCATGCTAAATATATTCCTACCATTTATAATGTCTAACAGATATTAACAAGTGGCTTTTGTCCTGTGATACAGGGAACTTGGGTATCCATGGGTGTATACTCTGATGGCTCGTACAATGTCCCGGCTGGACTAATTTATTCCTTCCCAGTTACTTGCAAAAACGGAGAATGGTGCATTGTCCAAGGTAACCCCTTTCCTCTACCCTACCCACATTTTAGTTACCGTTTTCCACATTTCTCGTGCTTTTTGAGACGTGTAGTACTGTTGTGCATCGAATCCAATTTCGATTTCGTGTTGCAGGTCTTCCTATCGACGAGTTCTCAAGGAAGAAGATGGACGCAACTGCGGAAGAGCTCTCCGAGGAAAAGGCTCTGGCATACTCGTGTCTTTCTTAAGATACAAATCCCGCCTAATCGAGATAGATCGAGATCTTGCGACCTCGAGGTATTAATACATTGCTGCAGTTCTGAATAAAGTCATGGATATGCACATGGTGCTTCTGTGAGGGTTTTTGTTGATGTTACACCTTTCTATTTTTCTTGATTTGAGAGGTGACTGAATTTAGTTCGCTTTGTGTAATTGATGAGTACACTTTGCTTGCTCCAATGGTTTCCTAATTTGAACTACACTTTGTTAAGTATATTCGTGTGTTGCCCTTTGTATACTCCCCGTCCCGGAAACCTTGCCCCCGTCCCCGCAGGGAATTAGGCCAGGAGTCCAGGACGGGGATTTTCCGTACTTGGTCAACTTCTAGTCAAAGTGTTAAATTGATGGACCAAATAATTATTCGGGGGTGGGGAGGAGTATCGTTAGTCCCAAACGAGGAAT